AAATATTTCCTACACACAAAAGGCAACTGGACTATGTTTTTTTCCTTGAGGAGGAAGACATTTCGAAACCTCTTCTTCCTCAAGGGGGAAAAAAAACCCCGTCTTTTGAAAAGAGTACCTTTGAGATGAAGCTGTTTAGTTTTGCACTGCATTTCTGGACTGTGTGTAGGAAATATTTTTACTCCTGCTTTTGAGTTTTTCCAGAGCAGGGCAGAAGAGATCAGTCTTAGGTAGAGAAGTGAAAGAACTTCCCAACCGGCTAGACTGGGGATAGCAATAGCACTTAGACTTATATACCGCTTCATAGTGCTTTTTTTACAGCCCTCTCTAAGCGGTTTACAGAGTCAGCATATTGTCCCCAGCAATCTGGGTCCTCATTTTATCCACCTCAGAAGGATGGAAGGCTGAGTCAACCTTGAGCCTGGTGGGATTTGAACTGAGTGAGATTTGAACTGCCGAATTGCAGTTAACAATCAGCTGAAGTAGCCTGCAGTCCTGCACTCTAACCACTGCGCCACCTCAGATGCCAGGAGATTCACCTATTGTAATTACAGAGGTGCTTAGATAAGGAATCCACCAGAGAAGTTTTAAACTCCCTCCCCAGATGGCAACACCATTCTAGGAGGTAAGGAAAATACTCCCACTCCGTGTCCAAAGGGAGGAGGTAAAGCTTTCCTCAGCTGTAGATTTGGTTACAGCTTACCTACTGACTCCAGATAATCTCCCTCATGAGAGTGTTTGAACAGAAAGAAGTGGTAGCGGGCAGAATCCTGAGGAATTCTTCTAGGCAGATCAGCAATTTCTGTAGCCTTTGTGTGGACCAATTCTATGGTCTCCTGCTCCAGGTTCAGCTTCTGTTGAAACAAAGGCAAGAGAAAAACAAAAATAACAATGAGGTGGAAACTCCAAGAGTACAACTTGTGCAAGCAGAGCATGCACAGAAACGAGCAAAACCTGGGACAATTAAACTGAAAGCGCTCCCCCCCCCCAACCCTACCCAAGAATCCCTTACCAGCTGGATGTAATTGATTTTCCTCTGCTTTAGTAGCTGAATGGCTTGTTGTGCATCTGGCTGCAAAGGGAAGGCCAGGCCTTGGAGAGTCTGGTGTTTGCTTTCTACGCTGATTTCAGTTTTCACCTGGCAACAGGGGCGCAAAAAACAACAATACCCAGACTGAAGTGAAACCCTGCATACATTTCCTTTTATATCCTTGCGTTTATTTTACACTTTTGCCCATCCAAAAAAGTTAATCCCCCCAAAAGTAGAGAGGTACAAGAAAGATGGAGAGGTAACAGACAAACCATGCTACTAGCATCCAGAAGTGTAAGGATCCTTTCAGGAAAGAGCCATTGCAATGTTCTTCCTTTCCTTTCCCTTCCCTCTAAGACTAGAGAGTTTAAAGGATGTCTCTCTTTCTCCCTCTTTCTCTCTCTGTGTTTATGTGCGGATTACAAAACTCTGTAAAAGAGAGAGGTGAGATGGACTGAGGTAGATATTGAGAACAAGGGGCCAGCAGATCCGACAGCAGTCAGACAATGAGGAGGTTGAAGAGGAACATGGGGCAGTCCTGGAGTCTGGGGAAGGCTCTGATGAGGGCTCTGGGTTGGAGGCAGGGATGGGGCCAGGGCCGTCTGACAGTTGTCAGCTGCCTTCGGTGTTCCCAGTGTGCGCATGTGCAGAGCTGCTAGAAGAAGGGAAAGGCTAAGGAACAAGGGTTGACTCGGGAGTAAAGCCACAAGTGGACGGTAAATGGCCCTTCCCATAGGGAATAAAGAGGAGCAAAAGGGGAGGGGAGTTTGCAGGAGACAATTAGTTCAATTCATTAAAGTGAAGATCTTTTCCAGACTTCTTGCCAAGTATTGTCTGCTACAGAGTGGCATTTGGAAATCTCTTGGTTGGGACTTTGCTGGAGAGGAATTCACTTGAAACTAAATAAAAGGGGTTTTATCGGGATGAGGAGTCGGCTTCATGATTTTGAGAAGCCTAGGTCAAACCAGAACTCTCCACTCAAGTCCAAATAGAACTAAGTTCATTGGTTTGAATGGGGCTGTTTCCCAGGGAAGTGCATTTATGATTCCAGTCTTAGGAAGAAGGGAGAACACCCGAAGGCAGGAAATGGCCAGAACACATGAGGCTTGTGGCTGGATGAGAAGAGGACGGTCTCTTGTGCTTTATTAGTTGTGAAGAAAAAAGAAATCCATCAAGTGTAGTTTGCATGACGTGCTGAAATTCCATTCTCTACTCAACTGTTAAAGCCACCCTTCCCCTTTTTTGTCTTTGCCCAAGCAGGACTGAACAGAAAAGCTGGCTAGGAGATGCAGTACACATCGGCAGGCATTTACACCGATGTAAATCCCAGAGTGAAATGGGGTTACATCAACATTTACATGCCTTTGATTGGATTGTGTACAGAATTTCTTGGGCAAGCGACTTATCCTTTGACCATTCACGCCGTCCATGGAAGTTTCTCAGCTTTCTAAAAAATGCTGTCTAACTTATATGTTAGATAGCACTTTCTAGTGAATGCCTAATACAGAAAAAGAAGGCTTCGTATTTTGGAAGTGAGCAGAAGAGGAGATCTCAGATATGACTGGCTTTATAAATATTCTGGAGATGATACTGAGAAAAACAAAGTCTGATGGACACTAAAAAGGAAAAACAATATTTTCCTTTTGAGTGGCAGCTTTTCATCATAAGCTGCAGTAATGATTAACCAATCTTATAAAGCTAAAGAAGTTAATACTAAATAAGATACATACTTTTTAAAAATCTACCTCTTTGGGTCGCTTCTGGCAAGAATCAATTATTAGGTGAGGAAGAATGACATTTTAAAAGCAACTTCAGCATAATTTTTTCTTCTTAAAATAATTAACAGTACAAAAGCAGCTTTATAGGCTCCACACAGAATCAGCAGAGGGAAAATCATTAGATTTCAGTTTCATGCTTCATAGAGGAGAAAAACTAGGTCACATGCTTCATTGAGTAACAAACAAAATATCATTTGTAAAATAGAACTGCTAGGTCTACTTTTCATCAAGTGCTGGAAGTGACATTTTCAGATATATGAAACATTTGCATTTTTTTTACTTCTAGTCTCTAGTCTAATCCAGCGATGTCGAACTTTTTTGGCTCGTGTGCCATAAGGGGAGGAGCGCGGGGGGGTTATGCATGGGCATGCCGCACCCATAATGCAATGCATGACCCCCTCCCAGTGCACATGTGCGCATGCGGCGCTCCCCCCATTTTTTGCATGCTTTTTTTGCCCTCCCCAGGCTCCAGAGGCTTTATAGGAGCCTGGGAGGGAAAAAACAGCCTCCCCAGCCCCCCGGAGGCTTCAGGGACCTTCAGGAGGCCCTGACAAATGGCTCCACGTGCCATCTGTGGCATGCATGCCATAGGTTCGCCATCCTGGGTCTAATCTCTTATTTCTAATCTCTGTTATTCCAAGTAATTTTCATTTTATTTACAGATTTTTACCCTCAAAAGTTCTGAAGCAGTTTTGGGTTTTTGGCCTCCTAAATAAAATTATAGATTTCCATCCAGATATAGTCTGGATTAATTTATATGGAAGAACATATGATTGGCACAACTATATCAAAATGATATATACATTAAATGGTATTATTTATTGTAGATGATGCTAAAGAAAATGTGTAGATAAATTTGTACCCAATTATAAACTTCTTTATTTTTGAAAGATGAGGCCATATTCATATGGAGAGCTTTGGTGGTGCAGTGGTTGGAATGCAGTACTGCAGGCTACTTCTGCTGACTGCCAGCTGATTTCAATTTGGCAGTTCAAATCTCACCAGGCTAAAGATTGACTCAGCCTTCCATCCTTCCGAGGTGGGTAAAATGAGGAACCAGATTGTTGGGGGCAAGAGGCTGACTCTGTAAACAGCTTAGAGAGGGCTGCAAAGCTCTGTGAAGTAGTATATAAGTCTAAGACCTATTGCTATATATTACTGAGGAGCCCTTGATGCTCTCTGAGCTTGTTTGTTTTCTTGCAGATGTTTCATTAGGTAATGAAACATCTGCAAGAAAACAAGCAAGCTCAGAGAGAACCAAGGATCCCTCATTTCAACCCTAAATTACAAATATTCTCCTTTATTGGTATCATATATTATCAAATATATAATTTGCATCTCTATAGTGTAACAAGTATTGCTCCCATGACATAGGTTCTACAAGTGAAAGCCCTGGGCATCAAATTTTGGGTGTCTGTGCTTTCAACAACCATGATAGTGAGGTGACCTGGTAGATACCAATTATCCTGACTGAGTTTGTGAATCTTTGAAAAAAACAACAACCAAAAACAAGAGGTAGGAGCTGTCACAATGAAAGAAATGAAATTAAAACAACATATTACCAAAGTTTCTATGTTGATATAATGCTTTTTGACCATTTCAAGCACTATTTATAGTTCGGAAAGAACGGTGCGTGATTAAACTGAAAGTTGTCACTGAATAATTTCAGTTGTTGTTTTTTTCAA